GAAAGTGTACAATATACCGACCAAGAGGAGGAAGATGAAAGTGCAGAAGATACCAACCAAGAGGAGGAAGACGAAAGTGCAGAAGATACCGACCAAGAGGAGGAAGACGAAAGTGCAGAAGATACCGATCAAGAGGAGGAAGACGAAAGTGCAGAAGATACCGATCAAGAGGAGGAAGATGAAAGTGAAGAAGGTACCGATCAGGAGGAGGACGAAATTGAAGAATGTACTGACCAAGAGGAGGAAGACGAAAGTGAAGAAGCCAGTGATCAAGAAGAGGAAGATGAAAGTGAAGAAGATACCGATCAGGAGGAGGACGAAATTGAAGAAGATACAGATCAGGAAGAGGATGCTTACAGCTATGATGAAGATGAAGATGGGTATGATAGCTAATTAACTACTGAAATAGGGACGTCACGATGGCAGTCCGGCATGGCAGACAAGTCAGTATCAATGAAGAGGATGCACACCCAACTACTCCCACACAGGTACAGGCATAAAGAGAAGTGTCTGAAGGTGTAGATTGTACTCATCCTAATGCTTTATCATGATGGCCGAAGCGCAGCCCAAGCATCCGCAATTTGATTATATGACATGCATGGTTTCCTGGGCTGTGTTGGGTGCGCATGGCATCAGCTGCATCACATGTGACATAAGCGATCCCTTCACCGTCGTTATTCCGTCGATCAGATTCAGAGAGAAATATTGAAGAATATAGGGTATCCTAAGAATAAGAAGGAAGAAAAAGTAGCAGAAAAAGAAGAAGAGGAGGAAGGAGAATAAGGCTATTACTTAGTGCGCAGGAATAAATGCGTCTAGCCCAGCATTACCCAGGGCATGATTGAATCTGTTTACAAATAGATAATCACCATCCATCTACCAACAAGTGCCATGGGTAACCTGCAACCAACAGTCATGCAAGTAGAATATATAGTAGGAAACATTGATACCCACACAATGATTGTATATGTTGCCTAAACATACTGCAACTGCACAGAAAGTATCAGTGTTAAATTAAAATATCATAGCGGAATTTATGGTTGAAGCTTAGGGCTTATGGTTTCATGTGAGAAGAGAATGACACATTATGCACATTTCAAGCTATGTGTGAGATTTGGAGAGTAAACTCTAGCCTAGATGTAAACCCAGATGGACAATCAAAGCTGCCATGTGTCAGACCCCATACAGCGCATAGAGCTTTATTTAGTGGGCAACTGAAGACAACCCATGCAAGGACGCTGTGGTCCTTAGTCCATGAACATCCACACTACAACTGCTTGTCTTAACCTCTGTATTCACTGATTGCTGGCTTGCGTTCTCCCTTCCCGCGTTCCCAATCCATGTTCATTTATCCTGGTATGATAAACCAGGAAGACAGAATTACTTCTTTACCTCCCCCATCACCGCGTCGCGCGCAGCAGGTGTCGCGGTCTCTAATTATCAAGTCTCGTACCGGTTATTAGTAATAGGCACTTAAAAAGCACACATGGTCACATTAATACTGCATTGAGCATGTTTACATAGCTGTTTTAGTGGACTCCCGATTGCCTTTTGTAATAGGATAAACTAAAGAGCTTACCATCACGAAATTCTTAACAGACTATTATCAGCAGGTCAACAGTTAGCTACCACAGTTTTTCAACAACACCCCAGTTATAGACACACAAGCTCATATCCTGTGATCACTGTAAGAGTGTCTTCGCAATATGGGAAAAGTAGTTCATAAGAATATATACTTTTTAAAGTTACCCATACCTCATCTAACTCTGCAATATAAGACCCACAATTAAAACAAGAATTCATTTCATCTCTAGAAAAGCTGGCCAGGAGGATGATATCATGACTAGGACTTGAAACTTGGCTGAAGGCAGACTCAAGATAAAGATCTAGATTCCATCTAAGTTAGTCACTCCATGCATCACTACTGCATGCGGAAATAGGCTATTTAATGCAGATATGATTACAGAGATGCGGATAGATCCATAAGGAAAACTGTAAGGTTATAATTTAAGTATGATGTAACAGTGATAGCATTAACCATAGGGATAGTTACGCTTCTAATTATCATGCATCACTAGTACAGAGGTAAAGTACACTACTCTATATTTAGAGTAGCAAGGGCTAATAAGTAAAGATGATAGTTTACTCCTCACATCTTTCAGAAGCCCATTAATTATTTTCTCTGTAAAATATCAGCTTCATTTACCTAGTAAGGCCCACTTTAACCTGACAGTGGCAGTGGGAACTAGCAAAGTTCTTGGGTTACTAAATATTTTTCTTTTTCAGGCTTAACTTCTGCCTACTACGAGTCAGAAAGGTGAGTAGCCTTGCTCTTAAACCTACTTAACTTGTAAAGTAGTATAAGTACTCACCTGCATGATTCAATAGTCACTATGTTTCCTGACCCTGAGATCATTATTCCAGGCAGCGCTGGTGGTGTGACTGGCGGTGGACAGGCGCTACCCAAGTAAGAGTAGCAAGCTGCTCAAGGCAAGGGTGATATTAATGTCAGGCGGATATTAACCACGGAGTTTTGTGCTTGGCCTCAGAACAGGTTTTTTCCCTGTACGTAAAGTGAGATTGCTTCAGGTTTTCCCTGTTCTATAAATGCAAATGCAGAGGCTGGTTTTATTAGCAGTAGTGTATTCTTTTCACAAGGCATTGAGTATTGCACTGTAAGCAGGGCTTTGCTATTGAGTTAGCTATTCTTTCCCAGGATGAGTGTCGTTGAGGATAGGGAGGCGGCTAGTTTTGGTAGCAAACTGGCTGTAGTATTCGACCAACGTGGAGCTACGAGGCGGCTACTGGTGGTCTACTGGAAAGATAGCTAGTCTCTTCTTGCAAGAGTGGAATAGCTACATGGTACATTTTGGCGGTCTAGCGGACCATAGACGGGCTCTCCTGGAGTTGCAGATGGATTCTGCAGAGCAAGTTACTGGACTCTGGTGGCTATGGGATGTGGATGAAAAGCCAGCTTGGCTCAGGCGAATCGAATAGATCAGCGTGACAACAAGGATTGCAATAATTAAGGACCTACGAACTGCGGACAGGATCAAGTGATATCAAAGCACCTATCTAAACAAGTCTAATGAAGCACAGCTCTGCTTTATAGGATATTGTTCATATATACTTTCCATAACTAGTATAGACAAGGGTAGTCGTGAGAAATTACGGACTGGGAGTGCCTCTGTATTTGCAACCATGATAATTATGCTCCTACTTCCAAATACACTATTCTGCTTGCAGTGGTCGTGAGTCCACGTCAAACCCAAGCAATGCCTTAGCAATTTCTCCAACCGAGGAGAAAGATCTTTGTATGGCTATTCTCATGTCAATCATCGTGTCTGCCTTGTCGATCCTGTGTTTCAAAGTTGTTGGTTTCATCAACTGTAGCCGCCGCCGCCACCAACAGGTTCAAAATGGACCCTGATATTTTGGCCCCTTGGCATGGTTATTGAGGCTGAGTCCCAACTATGAAATCCTCCAACTTTCGGAAAACCAACATGTTGGTTAATCGTTATCAGCATAGAGTATGGTTATCGCGAATTGTTATACTGTTTTGTGTCAGCCTTGGGAATCATGGGTGATTGAGGCACCTACATAATGCTTCGGCAATGGTCTCCATATGTCCATTTATTTTCATTGACGAAGCAGAGAGACTGTTAAAGAGTGGTTTACACACCAAAAGCTCCATTACGAGTATCAAATGATGACTGGTCTACCTTTATTCTCGCGCCTCTCCTCGCGCCGCTCAGATTCGCTCAGTGACACAACCCTAACAGAACGACGGCTTTCTGATCTTTCGAACAAGTCTCTACATACTTACAATGAGTCCAACCAGAAAGCTCCTCGCCGGTGGGTTACAAGCTTCAAATCAAAACTGGACCATACAATCGTGGGCAAGAAGAAAGCCCGCAGAAATCGTGTTCTTGTTGTCGTTGCGCTTATCATTGCATTGGGTGGTGTTGCAGTACTGTAAGTATTACCCTACAAATATAGCCTTCCCTACTGACGCTTTCAGGGTGTGGTTCTCACTTGTCCTCACCTTGATCGACCGACTCACACCTACTGGCCCATCGAACGGACTACAGAGAATCGTCGAGACATGGAAAGGCCCGGCAGACTCCGTCGCCGCACTATCTCCCTGGCCGAAAGACTTCAGTCAAGGCATTACACCGGTCCAATGCCACTCTCACAATGACTATTGGCGCTCAGTGCCTCTATACGAGGCCATCGCAGCAGGATGCACGGGCGTGGAGGCAGACATTTGGCTCCAGGGCGGCGATCTGCTCGTTGGCCATGGGAAGCGCTCTCTGTCCCCTGATCGTTCATTAAAGAGTCTCTATATCAACCCGTTGACAACAATTCTATCGAACCTAAATACGAATTCGTCAACCAATACTTCAGTAGGCGTATTCGACGTCGACACAACAACCAGCCTTACTCTCCTGATCGATATCAAATCGGACGGAAATGCCACTTGGCCTGTCCTCCTCAATCAGTTGAGTCCTCTACGCTCTGCGGGATGGCTATCCCACTGGAACGGGACGAGCAAAACCCTTGTCCGTGGGCCTGTCACCGTGGTGGGAACAGGAAATACTATGTTTGAGTTGGTAGTCGCAGAGGAAGATCGCTATGTCTTCTTCGACGCCCCGCTAAACGACCTTGCGCAGAACTCCACCTACACATCAGAAAATAGTTACTACGCGAGTGTCTCGCTGCAAAAGGCCGTTGGGGTTGTATGGCCCTGGGGCCCGACGGACAACCAGAAACAGATCATGCAGAAGATGATCAGCGCTGCCTCGGAAAGAGGGTTACTCTCGCGGTTCTGGAGTATCCCCTCCTGGCCTGTCAGCCTGCGCATGCGGCTATGGCGGTTCTTGGTTGATAGTGGGGTCGGCATGTTGAATGTAGACGATGTGGTCCAGGCGACAAGGTGGAACTGGGACTGGTGTATTGTGGTGGGGTTAGTGCTGTGTTGATCTTTGGGGCCGTTTTATCTTGTACTGATGCGATACTCTCAAAAATATATGCCAAGATGTTGGTTTTCTAGTTCATGTTGGTTACTCCATATGAAGAGACTAAGCCACATTCGGCTATGACGCATAGGGAAAATAGTCATGATCATCATCAATTGGATTAGACAAGTGTTCCCAGCTCCTTGATCTATATGAGGAAGTCAAGAATATAACATCAACAACCATATTTGTCCTTAATAGCCCTGAATGATGGGTCCTGCAAAAGTTGCGTTGCAGTCAGACGTTCCTCTGGGCAATAAGTAAATACTCTATTCATAATGGAGTGCACAAGTTCCCTCTCGGCTGGATCAGCGTCGGGACGCCAGTATGCAATTGTTGATGCAAGGCCATGCTTTGGATCGGTCGTTATCCCCTGATCATACCAGGAATCAAGGCCTCCCGGGTGAGTGTTAGGCCCTTCCAACTTTCAGGCAGTGGACCCAAACATCTGACAATACCAGATATTATTCCACCTTTAAAGTGAGTAGGAAAAGGCGTATAGCCAAGATAAAGCTCCGCGAAGATGATCATGTAACTCCACATGTCGCAGGCAAAACTTGGATCCTTCTATGAAGTCGATCAGGGGAGCAAAATTGCATAGGTGGATAGCCGCGAGGAATGACAGGGTCGCCAAGTTGCATTGCCAGACCAAAGTCCCCGAGATAGAAATCCTCAGTGCGTAGATTGTCAGGGACCTCAATGGGCTGAACAAGCTCTCCCTGCTTCCAGAGCTCGACATAGGGTATGATTCGCTTTAGTGGCCGGCCGAGTGCCTCGTATTTGGCACTTCTGTCCAGCTTGTGGAGAGGGACCATCCGCCACATACAGTTGCTCTCGTTCAAATCTGGCGAATATTTATTAAATACGGGTCTAGTTGGAGGCACACTTCACTCACCCCGGTGCACAATACCGGCTTTGTGTAAACTTTCCAAAGCTTCTAGCAATTGCCGAGCAGCGGACATTCGCGTCGCCATGGACATATTTCTCAGAATAACAGGGTACAGGCAAGGGCCCATCAAGGGAACACTAGAACTCTATGTGTTACTAACAATTGTTTCCAGGGAGTAGAAACGTCGCCGAATACATCACAAGGCGAGATGTATCCTGGACGTTCTGGATGATTTTGTCCTGCATACGGATTTCGGTCTCTCCCATTCTCCCGAAGACATCACTTTGAGGGCTACATCCTTCTTGTCGTGGAGGTCATGGGCCATCCAGACATGGAGAAGCCGCCAGACCCGATGTTATGCTCTACCAGATATCTTTCATTGAGCACCTCTCTGACAGAAATAGGATAGAAGACATGTGAAGTTTCGTTCATGTCGTGCTTATGCCAGGGCTCAACAACCTCTTCGAGATCGAGTTCCTCGTCCTCGTTGCTGACAAAATCGCCGAAGTCTGCGGTGTTATCGCCCTTGGCGCATTCGGGCGCTGATGCCGTTACCTCCATAACTGGCACGGCACTTGGGAGTGGTCCAATGCCAACCATTCTCGGCGACTAGATATTGATGCCAGGGTGAGTGAGGGTGGGGTTGACCAGGGAGCAAGGTGGGCCTGTTATGGCGGGTGTGGTGGTCACGAATAGACTGGTCGTGGATTGGATATGGATTGATCCTCATGATGTTTGATCCACCTATGCGGATTATGGGTTGATCCACCAGCTATCTAACCCTCATATCCATGCGGGTTGGGCTGCGGATAATGGATAAATCCATATTACTAAGCTAGTATTCAGATTTCCACCTCCTTTTCGAGTATTCTAGCCACACCACTTGGATATCTATGTAACTAAAGGTGATAACTTCGGAATGAGAGAAGTGACTAACCATGTGAGGCCTTCCGTATCTCTTAATTTTGGATGGTAAATCAGAAGGATAGGAGCATTGATCAGTCATATGATGTTGATTCTAAGCAGGTTTTAGCAAGATGTGGTGCTAATAAGACTGGGTCTTTCCTCTGTCATCGGCACAACGTATACTTAAAATGGACCCAAGTGGGTCGACCTTGGGCTGTCTATTGTCGATCCAGCCACTGAGGTCAGCTAGCCACGAAAGTGGACGACCGTGTCGATCCGGTCCTGCAGAATACCGCTAGTTCGCTTAGACTAAAATAATAGTATATCGAGCTACAGGACGCGAGATCTGCCAGAATGCCAATCTATAATTGATAGTGTGCGTGTTTGGACGCATGATGACGCAGAACCGACTCGAGTATCCAAGTCTCGGTCTTCAAAGTTTGGGAATTGAGATTTCTAATCGCACCTTTGGATTGTTACCTAACAAAGCGATATGCAGATTGATCTACTATTGTAGATTCACTAGTGTTGGAATCGCTGGGCTTCTGTTCCTTTGAGCTGAATTATGCTAGAGATGGCAGGCGCAGTGGGCCTTCAGAAAGTTGCTTCTATAGGATATGGTAGCAGAGGATCGTTGAGATCAACGAAACTATTCAAATTATTTGCAGGAGATTTTGAATCTATACTATGCTAGAGGAATATTGGGAGAAGTCCCTGGGCATAAATAGAGACCTCTCCCCCTGGTCTTTTCGATAGAAAACATTCTCCTAATCCTACAATATACGAGCCCAACAATCGTTCATTCCGAGCTTCTCAAGGTCCTCATCTTGAATTCTTAAATCATGAAGCTTCACCTTATCCTTACTTCTGCGTTGCTCGCAGCTACTGGGCTATCTTGCAGCACACACGGGAAAAGGAATTGTGAATGGTTTGGGGACGCCCCATTCTGTGGCAGCACCAACGCCAATCTCGGAGACAAGGTTGACGGTTGGACTCTCATCGATTGGACAAAAGACAAAAGTTCAGGCACTTTTTGTACGGACGAAGAGAAAGAAGGGCCCATCAGTCGTGGCGATCAGCATTGTTGCGAAACGTATGGCGAGGTGTGCTGGTCCGGTTACAAGCGCCTCTGGTGCAAGGATACTTAATGTGACTCCTCGGTTGTGAGTTTCTGGCCCTTGTGAGCTTATCCTGCTGGAAGGATTGCTATGTGAACACTTCGGTCTAATGTCTTTTTCGATCATTTTTAGGAGTGAACGCTTATAGCCTACGAGCCGAGCAAACTTTCTATGTCTCGCCCGCATTTGATGGAAAACTGAAGTCGAAAGAATTATCTGGATGATGCATTCTTTTATTTTGTTTTTCTGTATTTAGTTGCCTTCACTTCTCTATGCCAGGAAGAAGCCATTGTGTGAGGGTAAATATGAAGAGATTGAGAATTTCGGAAGAGTAATGTCAAATATGCCGAGTACCGAAGTGTAAAATAGGGAATTACCGGATTTCTAGTTAGCTGCTTAACCCTTTTTACTTTATGTCAGCACCATTCCTGTAAATCGCCTCTATTATGGAGGAATCGCAATCATCTGACCACTGGGTGCATGGTCGTACTACATCAGCCTTTCAGCACCAACGTTGGGTAACCTTGCCCCCGCGGTGTCGATCCCACCGCTGTTCGTATATTTGCGCTCAGGCCCCGGGCAAGGCAAACTGTAGGTGCCCGCAAGGCTGCAAGGCTGAGCACCTCTGTTGCTTATGTCTAGCCATCGAGCTCGATGAAAGAGAGTCAACAACATCATCGAGTAGGCAATATGTCCTCTATCTTTCACGACTAGTCGCTTTTGGACGCTTTCAAACGCGCAGCTTCCAACAAGCCTGCGTGTTCTCCCGATGTTCTCAAGGTGAATGTCCTAGATTGGGCTCTGGAATCTAATGGTACGTTATGGTCGTCTGGAATGTGCACCATCACGAAATTGTGGCTTACTGAATGGATAGGCGGGTATCAATTAATCGCGCGACAGGTTCCTGTGCCTGAGCTAGCTCAGTTGCCTGTACCTGTACTACGGATCATGTTGGTTCCTCCACTATATAGAGATCTCGACTAATGTAGCATTAAGTTTCTCGCCCCTGGACCTGCCAAGCAGTGTCTCCGCAGAAGGCTTTCTCTGGCTCTTTGATCACTATGCTGCGCCGTCTGCATTTCTTGCGGGAAGATTGCGGTCGGTCACACACTCCTTTGGAGCTCTGAATTATATGGATGGCTATAATTGTAAGTGAGATAAATATCTTTCATGTGGATACTTATCAGTGACTGTTACTTACCCCAAGGCGCCTGGTTTCACTATCTATGTAAGAATATCACCGTCGCTCGCGACGCCCACGGCAAGGCGTGGATATCCGATCCCAGACCAGGAGCGCCGCAGCTCAAGCACGGAGACTGGACGTGGATACGCTCTGGGTATTTTCTGCGATGGGCAGTGGACTCGAAGCGAGATCCTGAAGTGACGCTGATCTGTTTTGGCGCGTCAATCTCTCTCAAAGAACGTCTTCAACAAATTCCGTCGTCGTCAATATCAAACAGTGTTGTCCGTGACCCATATAGTCTCTTCGCCATCATCCTGGAGGAACTGTCTCTGCAAATGGACAATACTGTCTGGGACGTCCTCGATGTCTTTCGACATATTGAATTGGTATTTTCAGCTCCACTTAGTTCACCTAGATCTCGCTGACATTCCCAGAACACCCTGACCACGGCGAGGGATAGGGAGTCATTCACCGGGCTGCATAATGTCTCCAAGCATATCCTGTTCCTGCAAGAGAGCGCCGAAGCCACTCTGCTTACTTTGCGAAACCTGTCCGGGCATCACGGACGTATCCTCGACACAGTTCCTGACCCGGACCGCCACGCGACTGAAACGGCACAGGGAATGCTGGCACACGCCGAGACGCAGTTCCAGTCCACTAGTTTGCGCCTGAAGAGTCTTGAAAAACGAATGGATAATATTATCGCATTGGTATGCTTAATTCCTTTACTGATTGTGATTCAGGGCAAGACCTAGGAGACACTAATAGATATCACATCGGTCCAAGTCCTTCCACCTCGTCACGCAAGATGGCAATCGAATCATGCAAGCAGATAGCAATTCCATGGCAACTATTGCGTTCGTAACACTTATATTTCTGCCAATGTCGACCGTATCCGTAAGTTCTATCTCTCTGTTGACTATGGACGTTCATTGACTGATGATCTAGACCATATTTGGGAGCCAGTTCTTCAATTTCGATCGTTCTCTAATCCGCATATCGCAGAGCTTCTGGATCTTCTGGTTAGTCTCCATTGCGCTGACTTTACTGGTTCTTATCTTTTGGCGTCTTTCCATCAAGCGAGTGCCATCGTTGGAAGTTCGCGACGTATTCAGTATGGGGAGGTGGGGACGGTAATAAGTAGGTTTGACCAGACAGGTCTTAAAATCAAAGAGGCATTTGGGACTAGAGGGGAGGGATTCGCACAACCAAGGCCATGGTATCACTGTCCTCGCTCATCTCCTTTCATAAAGTCATGCAGAACACCCGTCCCCTATAAATCTGAACATTTGTTGTTGTAAAGAAACTGGACAGGCGATGTTCAGTGCAGTTCCTCATTAGAGGCCCCAAGCATGTGCACCTCTCATCTCCCATGGAGGACAGTTTGCTTAGGCTGTGGGGACCTAATTTATGCCACTGCATACAGCAGTGGATGCTCCCCGAGTACAGCCCGATTGCACATATATTAACGGGAATGATCGCAGCTTACGGCGAGCAGCGGCTCGGGGAACGGAGAAGAGCCTTGTCCTACACACCTGCTTACTGCCTGGGTCTCAGCCTCGCTGCATTCCTGGCACCCCCAGTTGCCTTGTCCAGAAGCAAACGCAATGCAGTATTTTCGACCAATGACCGTAAATCAGCGAGCGAGTCAGCGTCAATTGTGCCCAGCTTATCTGCCGATAATATCCACCTTGGAAAAAGCAACATGATCTGTCTCCTGCTGGGCCTACCTCCAGATTTCCCTCATTCCTACCTGCTCTGTTAATCCAAGCTCCACTCCCGTCAGTTACTGACTACCTACACACACCAATTTTGAATTCATTCAGTTCACTATGGTAGAATCTGGCCAGGTATACCCATCTCCTACATACTCGTACTCAACTCTCTATCTAAGTAACATCGCAAGGATCCTCACCCCAGACGCCACGGAGGCGGATACGTCCCACCAGGAGCGAAATATCAGCCTCGACACCAGTCCAGTTCCGTGGGAAATACCGGCGCTTCGACCGACTTGTCTAAAGATTCCACCGTCTCTCGACCAACCAAGACTTTGCCCTTCGAGCGTGGTAGCCATGGAGGAAGCTATATTCCTGCTAAAGGGAAAGACACAGCGAGGGGTAGCTCGTAAAAACGGGGGTCGCCCAGGATGAAGCAAGCAGGTTTTTGCATGCGAGTCTATACTGGAATGCACTGCTTGGGACTTACTTGCTATATTTCCGTGCATTTCTCCTCATGGCTCCATGATAGAGGATTTGTTCAGTTTAGCTGGATGAATTCATGAAAGAGCATGCCAATATCTACTATGATATCAACTCAAGGACACTTCCACACAGCCTACTTGCGTCTGGCGCGACGCCCCTAGCGCAACGAGCATAAAGCAATCAATAAATAGCACGAAAGTAACTATTGCAGGGGGTGTAGGTGCATATAACTTTCACAGGTACTCATATTGCATCTGGCAAGGATGCCTGCCCAAGGTCTGACGCGGAAGAACATGACATAAGAGAAAGCTATTTAAAAGTATCAACACGGACAAAATCCCCCTCATAACCGAAAACTTCCACAGCACCAACGTCGAATGTCAGATTGATGTCGCCCTTGTGCTCCGCTGTAAAGATGCCTGTCGAGTCCGACTGCAACGCCAGAGTAATGACGCCCAGGACGTCATCCTTCACCGAGACTTCCGATCGACTGTCTGTTGTAGACAAGTCTGGGTTCATCTGCGACATCTCTTCAGAGTTATAGAAGACTCTGGGAACTGGCGCAAGCTGGAAAATGAGGTTTGACTTGGCAACACCGCTGAGTGAAAAGCCTTTGGGAAAATATGCGCCAAAGATGACAGATTCCGATGCACTCTTGCCTGACACAAGCATAACTTTCGCTGTGCTGATCAGGGACACGCAATTGGCTATCTGTCGAATATCTATATCCCGAGAAGAATAAATTCTCTTTTCTGCTTCTATGGGAAAGTCTTGGGGCAAAGCCATTGAGAGCTGACTTAGGACGGGGAGATTTGTGATCAGCCCCTCTGGAGGAGGCTGTGTCTTGATTGAAGGAGCAAACAGTTCCCTGAGCAGAATCTGTGCTTCTCTAACAGATGATGGGGGCTTCTCAGACCGCAAGGGTTTGACCGAGTGTAATGGCCCCAAGACTCGGGGCAGTCCCAAGAAAAGGTTTTGCTAATCTCTGTTAGCATATAGCCCTTTTGTCGAACAGAGCAGGTTAATACACACCAGTGATCTGTCAAGCACTTGGTCAAAAGCAGCGAACGATACACCTGTGAAATCCGCTGCACTTCGGTCGTGAAATGCGGCCAACAGGCGGTCTGTCACAGTTTCAACCTGCGCTAGACAACAGGCGAATTCATCCGGTTCAATACCGCCTACATGCAACTGTGTAAGAAGCATCAGGCGGAGCAAAGGTCTAAAGTCCTTCAACGGGATCAACCCATTCGTCCATGTTGAGTTGGACGACGGAAAATGTTCAGCAGGAGGATACGCAGGCCCTTTGGTCACAGCGGTCGGAAACAAGGGATTGCGCCTGAAGTTACCAAAAGTAATTAGATCGAGCGCTTTCTGAAGATGAAAGTCATCTTCCACATTGCGAGGTGTATCAGTGGTAGTTGCTTGCATGTCTGCCATGCTCTGAAACAATAAGGTGCGTTGTGCGGCATTGAGACGATCAGGGTAGATGAGTGATGCTTTGCCGTCATCTTGTTCAAGGAGCTGGCCTCCATTCAATCTTAACAGCATAATCATTCCTGTGCGCAGGACGTCCTGCGACATAATACGGTGTGGATCGTTGTGGTACGGAAACGATCCCAGTCGCAGGAGGCAGCGATGTAGAATTGGGGCAGCTTCACGGACACACGCTCGTAACTCCGGAGGAAAGGTGCTGACCATGAATTCCTGCAGGTCTGACACCGTCCAGACTACAGAATGTTACTCTCTTGAAGTGGATCAACAATCAACTCAGACGTACATTTCTCCGATTCCGACTCGGTACAGAAGATCGGGAAAATGGTTTGGAACCATTCATGCTTAGCATCACCCAGACAATCTTTCCAGAGGCACCATTTAAATCTCTCGTAAAGTTCCTCTAGGGACGGTCAGTATTCGCTGCCACAGAGAGATGGACAGAGATCGCCCTACCCCGCGTTTGAACCGGCGGGAGAAACTCGTCAGGAGATTCTTTGGTTGCAGTCTGACCCATGGCTCAGATTCGACAGCAATCAGAAAGGAGTCCTAAGATATCTGATTTGTAATTTGATGAAAATGGGATGGAAGTCAATGGAGAAGTCTGGGATATCGAGAGAAGAGTGGGGAATGATGGTTGATGGCATTTAGCAAGGATGAGACCACCAGATCAGGTGACCGCACAATGATGAAGTGAAGTTAGTGAGTCTGCCTTGTCTTAACATCTGCGTCCACTCTCTGGAACAATTTTCATCGCTCTTTTTGGGGGCAAAAGCAACGTCTGATGATCCCTGATGCCGAGCAATTCTGGCCCCATCAACCAACAGAGGCGTTGTTGCCCGTCTGTATCTGTGGTGCATTCCAACATCTGCAACCTGGTCAATCTGTCCGTAGAAAACGATCGCCAGAAGATAACCAACATGTTGCAATCTGCGATGACGGGGTGATGCGGCTGTGAGGTTTCAAGTTTGGAGGCCGCGTTTTCACGAAGGTGGATATGTCAGGACATCAATCAGTACGACGTCAATTTAAGCCTGTCTCTTCGCTTCTGACGCTGAGCATTATCCATCATCTCATTCTCTGATTCACAAGCTTCTACTTCATAACTGCTATACAGAATGCGTCTCCAACTGTTCTCATTCATCTACGTGGCCATCTTTGCCTCTATCGTCAGTGCAACCGGTTGCAGCAAATGCCTCAATCAGAACGAGGATAATATCCGTCTCGGCTGCTTCAATAAATGCAAAGAGGCCTTCAATCCCAGCAGCAGCGAGTACCATGCCTGTCGCGATCAGTGCACCGAGTTTGTCTTTCAGGATCACTGCTGCACCTCTTCCTGCAGCAGCAAATCCAACGTCTGTCTGAATGACTACTTCCACCGCGTGGGCCTGACAAAGCGCGACTCGACGGACGAGGAAGCCTATTATCGATCTCAGCTAGATGCAATTCGAGAAAATCCCGATCTACTCGACAAACGAGCGCTGCTGGTCGGTGACGCTCCGTATCATCTGATCCGGAGTACCAAGGACTTGCACTCGCTGAATCATCCGGACTTCAGTGAGACTGTCGTGTACGATGTTTTCGAGCATAATATCGTAGGGGCTTTGGGTCGTCGGATTGACCAGGGCCAAACCTGTTGCTGGGTCGCGGGGGCGGTGCTGCAAAGGGGCATCACTGAGATAGGGGCAGGATGGACAAGTAATGACTGGACGGACGAGCAGCGCCAGGGACTGGTGCTCGTCAGTTTTGGCGTTGCGGCAGCTTACGCTTGCAACCTTGTTTACAATGTGCAATGTCTCTTGTTTAATGCCAGGCCTGCGCCGCAAGTTTGAGGGGAAGGCAGTTCAGGTGATCTGAGGGCTTGTTGGTTTCATGTTGCAATTTCATTTAACTGGTTATCTTTTTCTTGCTTTACTTTATTATTGTGGCTGTACTTACTTATGTCATGATCACGACTATTTTGACTCATAAGAAATGAACATCTGGCCTTGCTAAGCTATATATTAAGCCCCGCCACCCCCTCTTAGCGCTTGTGCTCCATTACTTCTTTCATCCTTATTTCTTCCCCGGTCTCAGAGGAGTCAAGCTAGCTTTCATACCTCGCTTCCAATTGACAAAGCATCTGGACTTCACCATGGAGCAAGAATCCTCGACACCACTCTATCTTCGACGGGCTCTAGCAATCGGCCTGGCGCTCACTGCACTCCGCCAAATCAAATCCCTCCGTGTATCCTATCTGTTTCCATTCTCGAATCCGGTCGCCGATGAAGTCGATAAAATGTTCGCTTTCGCGGTAAATACAAGCACATTGTTCTTCGTATGGTGTATCGCCGAGCCTTCTATCAACCACCAACTTCCGATGACGAATCTGAACACATTGCGCTATACCCTGGCCGGTATTATTCTTTCTCTTACTGTCTGCGGCGATAGCCCCCTCAAGCGCCTTCTTGCCGGACTCGCGATCGGGGCATGTTGGATCCTTGGATGGGCGATCACGTCTGTTGAGCAGCGGGCGGCCTATTGGCGGTTCATGAGAGACGGGCTAGGTTTCACGCTAATTAATTTGTGGCGGAAGGCTGCTCTTTAGAGGCTCGTTGTGTTTGACGGTGTTCTTGGCGATGCATGTCATGGCGGCTGTGTCACTTCCGTTGGACTTTTGTTAGTTGGATGGCGAAGAGTTATTTTTGGCCAAAATGGCGACGTTGTTGGCTTTGGCGCCGGGGATATGTCTTGTGGGCGGTTGCGTAGATCAGATAGCTCAATCATTACTCCAGTCAAGACAGCTACCAAAGGTACTCTTTCTCTCTCTCTGACAGGTAGATCAAGTCCCAGATAGTATAATGTATTAACGTTACCTGTTGATGGTTCTCTCCCTAGGTGCCTAACTGACCCGCCAAAATGAGAACCAATCAACCCATTTTGAGAATAGGGTGGGTTGAATATGGATTTGGGGCTCGGGTTAAACAATCTAAAAATATGGTCCCATCATAGTGTCCATGTTGACATATCGTCGTAATTATGACTCCTAACCCACGCCAGGTTCCATGAAATGTACTCGGTATTTTGCCAAACATCCTTGTCGGTGCTTTCCCTCCATTCCTCCCAATCCACAATGTAACTGTTGGTGCAGGGGGTGTCTATCAGCCAACTGAGTGAAGCAACGTCCAAGTCATATACCGTAGCAAAACACAAATGCAGAGTTTATTTACCATTTCTGCTTTTCAAAATCCCAGACAAGATTCCGAATACCACAGTCTTCGTGGACTCTGCCATGGGAGACGCATTCTCTTCCATGGTTGTCAGCTAAAAATATCACATATTTCTCTTCAACCCAGGACGTTGCCATCATCTCATCAATGGAAGTCGAAACTTACATCCATGCTTTCTTGAACGATTCCCGAAGTTGATCACGTTCTGCTCTGCTCATGCGGCCAGACCAGTAACCAGGGGTTTCTCCGGGGAGTTTCTCCATCAGGATGTAGTCGATATACCCCCTTGGTACCCAGTCATCATTGCCTTGAGTTTCGTGTTTCCATGCGAACAGTTTAGGCGTTGAGGAACAACCAGCTTGGGTCAGGTAATCGAGGGCGCTGACCTCTCGTTGTGAAGCTGCCCTCATCTCCGGATCTGCCTGTCGCGCCCTCGCTTGGCGAGACTTGAACGCCGTATTGAAGTACGGTATCCTTGTGGATTTGCTTAGAAGATCAGAGCCACTAACCATGAGACAGTAAACGTACTGCATCCGAATCTTGACAACATTTTCTTGAGCTGGGACATCGATGTTTGAACACACAAAGATGCCGCGGGCCTCGGAGGGCATCATGCACTCCTTGACATCACATTCGGTGGCGAGGTCTTCGTTCTCTGCGAGTCTGCGATCAATCCTTCACCTTGACGGCTGAGCATCCGTAAACGTGAGATAGGACGCGATCCACCTGTCCTCGTCGAACCAAGTTATTCCCGACCGACTGCTGTCCATCACTGCCCACAGACAATATATGTCTTAGAGAGAAGGCAAAGCTCGTACGTCAAATTCATAAAATGATGATTGGCAAGTACCTCCGTCCTCGTATGCTCGACGTGGACAGGTTTGAGATGAAGACCTCAATTCCTTTGTCCACGACATTCACAAGCGCTGCTGCGCACTGTACCTCGGCGGGTCCACAGTCTTAGATTAAATTTAACCGCGCGGCTTGATGTGTAGGTACTAGTTACTACAGAGAATTTCGAACAAGGCTGTAGATGAAACTCAAGCATTAGTCTTGGAAAGCTAATGAAAGGTTTAGGTACGTTCTAACTGGACGCGATTCGACACGAACCCAGATTATATCGTCATGGGCTATCTTGCGCGTACACGCATGCCAGCTCCAAGGAAAGTTGGTCGACCATGTGTGAAATTACACTTCACAGCTGGATAGTTGTTTCACCGTTTGAAGGAACTACATTGTGACAGGTTTGGTTGGAATACCTCTGTAAGGCTCACTTAATACTATTCATCTCTCCCATGAGGTGCTAACTTTCCCCTGTCGACCAGGCTAGATGGCTAGATACATGTATCTGACGCAGCGCAAATATGGTTTCCTTACGACTTATGAACAGACCGTGTTCTTGACGAGGAAAGGCTGATGGGTTCTCTGGCATTCCCCCGTGATTTGGCATGATACACAATCGAAGAGGATGACAAAATCTGATGATCGAGGCGAAGATTTGTCGAACCTTGCTCTTTATCGTAGCAAGGTCCCCGTAAGGGAATGTTTTCTTTACCTTGTTCAACTAGCCTGCGTTGAGTGTTCTGCAGATAACTCTGTGAAGGCTAATTCTTGGGTTGTTGCACAGGACTTCAAATTTGACGAGGAAGCTACCTCCTCGGACGGCTCACCAGTGGCGCATCTGAAGATGATGATCCTGATCGCCAAGTGTCACACAGGAGCCGGCGAGAGGGCCCACATACCGGTCAAGCTTTATCATATAAACAACCTCAAATAACGGCTTCGATAGCTGACCTCGAAAGCCGTGCGGGTCGGATGACACTTGAGGACAGGCCTTCTTCCAATCGAGACCTCCCATGGAATGGTGACGGCGACATAACTGTATATTTTAGTGACTCACAGCATCGGTGGTACAACGAGGACAGGCGAGGAGGTCGAGTGTACATCCAACTCTACGAAGAGGAGCATTCTGATGGAGAGTGCCGGGCATATTTCATCCAAGGTGGCTATCGCCACAGGGTCAGGCAGGACAGAGGGAAGCAACAGGCAAGGTGATTGCAACTATAGGTTAAGATGGGCGGTGTCTCTCTGTTTACAGTTTAAATGTTTGCTTATTAGATACGTCAACGATCGATCACTCGCGGTTATGAATTCTGATATGAAATTTGAAATTTCGATAGATGCAATCATGCGGAAGCTTACAAAGTCACGAAAGCCTAGCGCCCGCAGTCGCTCATCCTGGCAGGCATTTCCTAATCCCTAGCAATCCAGAAGTGTCCTGCACATTATTTCCTCCCACCCACACACCTTTAATATAGTTCTTAAAGGAACCAATTCCTAGTGTGGGTTATCCTCATACTTATATATTACTAAGTATAAATACTGCAAAGGTGGCGCGACAACTCCGTACCATGCAATACTTGAGGTTGAGCATCCAAGTATAATCATTTGGAAATTGCAACCGTATATATATAGAGTAGGTAGATGTGAGGAGTCTTCATACAGCAGAGTGAGCAGCGAGTCAAAATTTTAATTGGTATGGATTACGAAGATTCAGTAACAAAACAGACACCAAAGACATAACATTCCGCATGCACTCAATTCTAACTATCCAGGAATCCAACAAAATCCATCAATATCCACTCGTCCTTTTCGTGCTCCTTAGGAGTACTGTAAGTCTCAGTGAATTTCGTCCCACACCTCGTTGGTGTAAACCATGCAGTTGTTCCAGACTATATTGTAGCTAGGGTGATCGCGAGCGTACTTCAGACCTGCAAAAGTCAGATACCTACAGAAAGTCCCTTCAAGAAACAGTCGAATACACATACCTTGGTTCTCGATATACGCATCCGTCGCCGTCGTTTCCCCGAGGTACTCGTACTTGTTGTCCTTGCTGACGTGCACCCATTCTTTCTTCTTGTAGTTGAAATAGTGGTTCGCCCACCACTTCTCGGTCACCTGAGACTCCACCGTTCCACCGACGGGTGTCTGCCCGAGCTTCGTCTCTGCCTCGTCGCTGATCATCTCAAAGGCTTTGCCGGAGAAAGCCTGCCGTCCAGAGCGCGTGGGATTGTTGAAGAACTGGCCGACGATGAGCCGCACGTGCGAGTAGTCGGGCAGACACCTGTATTCGCCGTAGACGGTGGCCCATTTCTCGCGGAAGGCGTAGCGTTTGCCGTGCTCGAGCCGGACGCCCTTTTGCGCTGCGGCTAGGGTCACGGCCTCGTAGTTGTCTTTGTCGACTTCATCCTGATCGGGGAACCTGTCTGGGCGCTGTTCTGCGAGGCAGAGGCTGAAGATGGCAAAGAGGAGGATGAGTATGGAGCTGAAGGCTTTCATTGTAAGGTTTGATACCGTGGTTGACTAAGTGAGATGTGGTTTGTGAAAATGATAGGAGTAAGGGATTGTTGTTGTTGGACTCGTGGTGGATTCTCAATTACAACTGAATTCTATCCTTTTATATGAAGCTCCAGACTGTAAAGCTTCTACGACTCTATACATCTACATTATTCTCGCCCCCATGCGATGTTGGATGGAAGGGAAACCAGGTCTTTCCAAGGCGCTCTTTACTCCCGACAGCAGCTGATTCATGGGTTGCAGCAATGCCACCAGTTGGTTATTCACTGCAAAGTAAACCAACTTTACCCCACGAAAGTCTTAGCGCTAAGGGGTCACCTAAAAGACAAACAAGGCCGTTTCAGAAGTGAACAGAGTCTATATCTTTGCCAAGACCAACATGTTGGAGTCTCCTCCAGCGGCGCTGGCTAAAGCCCGGGGAGGCTTAGGGCTTGGCTGTTGGATGGGGCCGCGATGACCCGCGTCTCATCCCGACGGTTGTTTCACATTAACTCTGCATGTGCTTTAGATCTTCGGAGAGGCGATGCTACCGGGATGTCATACAGAATACTTGAACTTGACATTGTCTAACATCCCGCAGGGTCAATAACATGCTGTAGATATGAAACCCGCCGCCCCCAACAAAGGATTCCTTGTTGGTCCCTGTGTTCATGTGGTAGCCCTAACTACCAACTCCTCTCAGAGAGCCTTGCTATCTTTATTTCGCTGCGAGTTGACGTAATTTTGGTTGATCTCCAGGAATAGATAATCTGTAGGAGATGTGAGTATGCCTCGCTGTAGCCCCCAACACCAACAACCAGAGACTGAGGATCGACTTCGCCATCAGTCGACGCATTTTTGCTTGCATCGAGGTAGTCTATTGAGGATATGGACGACGTCGCAATGAAGACGAGGAGGCGAACAGACCGAGTTGGTTGGAAAATGGCTGTGCACCGTAGAGACAATCCAAGGCATCATCCCAAGCATTCATTCAGAGGAAAACGACGAAAGTGAAGGATATAAAGCCATGGCATCTCCCGGTCCTCTGGTATAATCATCAACAACATCAACAGCCACGAATCCAGAACAGCAACACAAACACTCATCTTTAAACACTTCCAAAGCATAGTCATCAATACAATGCATTTCTCCAAGATTGCCATCTCTCTTGGCCTCCTGGCCACCGCCGCAACTGCCGCTCCCAGACCCTTTGAGGAGCGCTCTCCCATCGTTGCCCGAGAGATCGTCGACCTCGGCGTGACTCCTCTGAGCGCCGGAGAGCTCGAGAAGCGGGATATTATCGACCTCGGCGTTACCAACGACGGATATGATGACCTCGAAAAGCGTGGAAAGAGTAACTACGTTTCCAGCTGTGGCAACAACTGGATGCCCATCGAGGATGACAAGAGCAAGAGCCACTCCGGCTACCGGTCTGCCGTCGAGCAGTATTGCTACCATGTCACCCATAGCCAGGACGGGCTGCCAACTGTCATCGGAGCGGGACAGAAGCATGCTGCCATTGTCAAGAACGGATACTATCTCAAGGGGGATGTTCCTGCCGCTGTGGACTGTGAGACTCCTTGATCTAAGTTACAGTGATACTTTCTAACTGAGAATATAGTTGAGATTCACAACAAGATGAAGGATGGAGATCACACTCCCAACCAGGCCGACTGCGAGACCTACCTCATGAAGATGGCTGATTCCAACTCCAAGTGCTACGGCAGCAAAAACAAGGACACCAAGGGCGGAACCTGGCAGATTGGCGACAACGATGTCAGCTACCACGCTCTTCCCATGCCCAACTCTACTTAGATGGATCCATCGTGAGACGGAGAGAACTCGAATCAATGACTGTTAGATTGCTTGATTATTGTTTCTGCTTTACTGCTATTCTGTTACATCTCTTGACTGCCTTGTTTCAGATTTTGTTTGATTTTAGTCTCCAAATGAATGTCCTTGCTCTTCTGTGAGCCCAACCTCAATCTGCATAACAATCACGCCCATAGCCATAGTCATCCGTATATGTTGAGCCATAGTACTATGAGGAATCAGAATGTCCCACCTCAGCCAATGCCTCCTTCACCACCTGCTCAAGATTCTTCTCCGGCAGCCCTAGCTCCTTGTTCCTGATATGCCTGGTCGGCTCAAAGTGGCCACTGTAGGTCCCCTTGGTAAAACCGATATTAATCAGGCCATATCCTGCAGACGTCTCACCATTTTCCCACGCCTTCTTCAACGCAGGAATAGCCTCTTTCGTGCTGATCGACTTGCGCTCCCACTTCTCGCCGGTGAGTCGCTCAATCGTCTCAACGAGCTCCTTTTGCGTGGTGGCAAAGTCACTCGTGAAGACAATTTGGTTAGCCGTCGTGCTAGGATTGAGTAGGACACGACTCAGCGCCAGAGCCGTGTTATCCAGCGTGGTTGTGGAGAAGTAGCCCTCGCCGTCGTCTGTGAAGGTAATGCTCCGGCTGGGATAGTTTAATCCAAGAAAGTTATTGCGCAGGGACCTTGCCACAGTCAGTCATCAGCATCAGCTATTCATGTGTAGGCGAAGAGCCATACCATCCGATCCACATGCCACACGCGATAGCCGTCCAGGATAGTCCACTCGACTCCTTACTGCGCAAATACTGCTGCACCATTCCCTTATCTTTGAATACAGGGGACAGTTCCTGCGCCTCGGGGGTATTGTTGTCGAGTCCATACTCAGACGGCACATAACGCTTGACCCCGGCGGCGATCGCGGCGTCGATGAATTTGTGCTGCTCGGCCACGGAGAAACTGGTGATTGCATTCACGACTGCATCTTGGCCCTTGAAGGCTTTGACGAGGTCCTCAAGTGGGTAGGAGTCGGCAATGGTGATTATGGACGCGGTGGGAGGAATACTGCCGCGTGCCTTGGATGATTCTCTTGCGAGAACTGTGACGTTGAACGTCGGTTCTGACAGAAGCGATTTCAGAAGAACACTTCCGAGGGAGCCACCACCCTGCTCATTCGATCAGCTGAGTATATCAAGTAGACATGCGTTGACTTACTCCGATGAGGATAATATTCTTGTAGGCGTCTGTCGCCATGATATACGGGGGATGGATAGTCTTAGGATTACAGATGGTTTTGAGAATTCCATCTGTCAATTTCCTCTGAATTTATACTTGTCCCTCCGAGTTCTCGTTTAATCAGGCTGACAATGTTCAGTAATCAGTATACTCTAGCTTGAATAACTTCGGTATCCTAGTCGCCCTAGCTGAGAATTCGGCTTGATCACTAATATAGTCCGGTCAACTATGCTATCCCTGCGCTAGTGGCCTCTATTAGGTGGCAAAGGACTAATAGTGGCAAGCAACTAGTTTTTGTTTGTATCGGACCCTCAGATAACGGCCCACTCAGGCTTTATGTATCACTAGCCTCAGCCTTGCATAAGCCGTAGCAGATGGACTTATTGTGCCTAATTCAGTACAGAGTCCAGAGGCGCTGTAGGTAGTTCCACTCAGTTGTGATATGGGTGATCTTGCTTCTAGTCGCTCAGCCTAAAAAGTGTTCCAACTATTGAGAGATCGGGGGAACTGCATAATAGGTCGATCTGAGCTCTAAACCGATTCAGCGCCGTATAAGGTTTATAAGATAATACAGCTCATTCTCTGGCAAGATGCGGGTCTGCAAATCTACATGAAGATAGATATCGATCAAGCCCTGAAGCACTGGAGAGCAGGGAGAGGGGTACGGCACTCCGTGCAGAGTAGGCAGCGAGGGTCTGCCAGTCTGCCCCATGTCGCCTAGAAATAAATATTCATGCATGAACTGACTCGATGATTATTTTGCTGCAGAGGACCAGGGAGATACCGATGGCCGTAGCCGGATGCGACATGGTCTAGTTGCCGCTACCTAAAATGGACATGCGACTGCCATTTTGGGAAGGCTCTAGGGATTTTCTGTCTGACCAATGAAAATGGATTCTACTGTGGTTATGACCCCACTTCCCCACTCACTCTAATCCTGATAAGGTTGTGCGACTTCCAGATCGGGGATAGCGCTGATAAAGCATTGCTTATCATATAATCTCATAAGGCGCCATTTATTGCAGCGGCTGAATACCTAGTTAAGAAGCTACCAGACTGGTATGTTTGGTAATCGGACTCATACATAATCATGCCATATCTCAAAATCATTGGACCATGCTCTATTGGCGTACAGAATTCCGCCCCAGCTATCGGGTCCCGCTTGTTTATGCCGGAAGTGATAAACTATTTATGCGGTCCCATGGTCATGTCGGCGTGAGATGAACCGTGAAGTTGGAGGCAAATTCCGAGACAGTGCCTAATTGGCAGACAAGGATTAATGGCTCTATGGATATTAGTACTGTATCCCTAACTCCTCCCCGACACCATGCTATAAAGCATCGGGTCCGTCGCCTCAAATAGGCATTTGAAAGTCGTGGCTGTCTGCTTTAAGCTATTCCGTGGAGAATCAATTGTGAATCATGGATACATCGCCGCCTGAAGAACAGTCCGACCGTCAGAACACACCCGAACCTTCTCCTCCTATTAATACCTCCAAGCTTCTCAAGCGGGGTCGACCTAGGATAGATCGTGCTGGAGAAACAGCGGGTGAGGTAAGGAGCGGTGAACGGTCTGCTGTTGGAACTATGGGCTGATCCCCCTGAAGAGACGAAAAGAACAGATACGACTTGCACAGCGAGCCTACCGATTTCGCAAGGATCTCAGAATTACGGAACTAGACCAGAAAGTTGCCGAGCTTGAACAGACCATCGTCGCAATCCGCGACCTCTATCTCAGCGTGCACACTTCAGTCGGTGACTCTGGAATTACCATGTCCCATCCGTTTCTCGCGCAGTCGATGCAAACGAATCTTCAACTGTTGCTCTCTCTCACTCAGTCAGTTTCGTCGAGACGTGCTGAAGGTCATCCTTCGTCCACATATCATGGCACAGAGCCTTCATGGGATGAACACTTTCTCGGGCACAAACCACCGCTACTGTCGCCTGCCTTGTCGAGCCAGTACCCAACATCGGATTCTGAATCACTGGGACTTCCTTTTGACAGCACTTCCACAAGTCCGGGAGTGCGCTCGGGACATTCGCCGGACCAATTCGCCGTAGATCCGTTTCTGCTCTGCGATAAATACTTCTGGGAGCAGCCCAGCATGGGCATGAATAACGACGAGATATCACTTGGTCATTTGACTTTACATGAAATCTCTTCGACTCACTCTTGATCTTGTTCTCTTAGCTACTGCGACAGTGAAATTTGAAACGCTTCATCAAGTAAATCCAATGCAGAACATAGTTCATGCATAATGTCTTGCGCCAAATGAAAAGCACGACCAAGTGTCGCACATCATCCAACATGCCATTATCTCCTTCCTTGCGCGTCCTTCGTCCCCATGCCAGAAGGTCCAGCCAGCGCAATATTCCAGGCCTCTTCCCAATCGTTCTCACGAGACGGGTCATAGAAAAACCGCTGCAAAATTTGCCGTATGTCGTTCCAGTTACTCGCCGAGTATCTTTGCAGAATTGACCTCCTCAGCAGTTGCCACTGCTTTTCTCGGGAGATGATCTGCCTGTTCCGTGGTGTCGCAACAACAGTACACATCCATATCACACACTCCATCAACAGAGGATCGTTCCACACCTCAGCAACGGCTTCCAGTACCTCAGCACGTCGCTGAGGCTTACGAAAGATCAACGCTGCCGGATGAGTCCCCATAGCGCTGAGGTCGTCGGCGAGACACACCAGGGTGACACAGATGCACTTCTCAAGGTTATTTAAGTTTCTGGACATGGAGCAACGCCATGTTTGTCGCGTTGTGGGCTCGCTTTCCTTACTTCTTGTGAGCCAGTGCGAAAAATCCCTGACCTTCCAAATCGCCTCTGCTGACAGATAGCCGTAACAGGCCAGGTCGCGAAAGCCCGAAGGTAGATCCAGGCCTGTCTCCTCCCACACCGGGAGACGATAAGGCAGCTCCCTAGTTGCAAGCGAAGCTTGGCCATGTGTGATTGTTGTCTGGACGTGAAACTCGACCATGCTCTGAGTAACAAGCAGACTCATGCGGAGGTTCCTCCCAAAAGCATTCTCATCGGAGCTTCCAACGGCATCGAACCCTCCTCGAAGCTTGACCACCTCTCGCATCCCATTCAGATGTACAGGTCCAAATTCATAATGGCCTAGATAGTCGTCCACCGGGATCAAGAGAGCCATCCCCTGTATCAAGACGTCGTCCACTTGCTGCCGGGACAGGCGGCTGTGCAGATCCAGCAGGACCTTATTCCGATGGAACATGATGGCACGACTGGTGTTGCCGGTAACATCCTGGCATTCCAGACTACACAGGGTAAATGCTGCCAATCCATGCAGGATCAGATCGTGGATTGAGGCCCACGAGAGAAGTCCGCGGCCGAATGATCTCGTGCCCACTTCTCCCAGTCCTAGAGCCTTTGCGTCGTGAGGGAGAAGGATGTCAAAATCTGGCTGATATCAATACCGGTGCCTGGAATCTGAATAGGGCGGAGAAATCACTCACAATAGCTGAGGGCGCGCGCAGTCAACGGACCTCTCGAGGCCAATTCGCCGAATGGGTAGAACCTCCCAGCCCCGATAGGTGCGGGAACAACCAGCGCTTTTGTCGAAGGCTTCTTTTGTGCCTGACCATCATCTTCTGGAGGCAGGTGCCTTCCGTCAAATGTTGACTCATTTGAATCCGGACGATCCGGAATCTGGAGCCACCGCAGAGTCCCCTGCCTCGCTCTTTGCTCGACCTCTCCTCCCCTTCGCTTGCGCCGTCTTGTGCTTGCCTCTGTTGCCACGAACGCATTGATTGCTCGTCGAGTGTTGGCGTCTTTCTGCTTTGAAGGTCCGCGGTAAGGAATGAACATGGTGGATTGCGCTTCGGACCTCACGGTCGCATTTATCGCACGTACACGATACTATGCTTGATAGGTGCAATAAAACAAACACAGTGTCCCAGTCATCTTATATCTCTTAAATCATGATACCTTCAACAGTCCTGATTCCTGGAAAGCACTCATGGTTTGTCGGATTTCCTTGTCGGGCTTGATTATGAATCTATTGCAATGACTGCGTGGCACTTCCTCGGTTGCTATTTCCCGTGGCGCTTATTCTCCCACACTAGCCTATATGAGCCTTCTGCCATCATCAACATGACAATCTCCAGTTGCACCACGGACCGTTCTGCTGATACAAAATGTAGATATACTCAATATGGCGCCGTTTCTGGAAACATCCCCAGCTGTATGAATTGTCTGTCAAGGAGTATTCTTGTTTGCCGGCAAATCCGATGGCTTACATTCTCCATGTCGCCACTCGGGACTTTCCTGCAACTGATTACCAATCTGGTGGTTGGATGGCTATAGCCGGATACACATCAGATGTGATCAATAATCGTCATGGTTCATGCTTCGGTCTTTGATTCATTGTCCTCGGCCTTTGCCTGCGAAAATCTAGCTGCGCATCTTGGATTTGCGTCTATATAACAAGATCCTGGAACAAATCCCTTGATTTCTAATGGTCAACTCTGGAATAAAGATAGTAGTCAACGCTGGCATCATATTCTATTGGTTCCACAATCAAACAATAACAGCAAATGGACCAAGTCCTTCAATTGATCAAATTGTCGGCAGCAATGGAAGGTATCACAGTTATAGCCAGCCCATGTCGACAGATATACATGCAACCACTGAGTTAAATGCATACTATCCCCTCGTCTGTATCGTAAGAGCACCGCATACACAGATTAATATCAGCCAGAAGATCTCCAGACGATTGTGCAGCGAGTTCCTGCAGATTCTGTGACCGTTTTTGCAAGTCCATTGTTACCACTTCTTTCAGATTATTTGTTACAGGAAAACATTCCCACTGAAGTATGTCCCATCCAGAGCGCTCAATCAGGCTCCTTCTCCAGCTCGTCTCCGCCTTTTTCCAGAAAAGAATAACACTCCACTGCAAGCTGATGGAATTACGGCCATATCGAGTCCGATACAGCTCCATCAGATCCGGTGGCAATGACCGGTTCGGCGGTCCATAAAAGTTGTATTCACCATAGAGGTCATTATCATACAGGACATCTTCCATTTTATAAGGATCACGGAAGTCCCAGTGACTCTCGTAAGACATATCAAACCACTCAGAATTGGGGTACTCTTTCCCTTTCTCCGCCTCATGTAACCGAGGGTACAGCACGCGGCTATAAGCCGACCTATGTGTAGGTGGAAAGTGACAATGACATTGCGACACTCGGCAAGAAGCTTGAAAATCTTCTCAACTGTAGGACTGATGAGCTCGACCCATTCCCGTGTCGGCGACAGCTCGACTCCGACCGGTTTGCACCAGTCATCAGGGTGGTAGCGATCCACGCCAGATAGACCAGTCAGCCACCTTTCACCTGCCCGTCCATCTTCAAGTATTGGAGCCCATTCTAGGCAATCGTAGTATATCGAGAGCTTTCTGAGATTTCTCCGATTGTGCGGACCGATCATCACAAGCCATTTGTATAGTGTCTGCCAGTCTTTCTCTCCGAGTTCAATGAATACTTCAAATAAGCTGTCGGTGTAGAACACCTGCGTAGCTTCCAGATGGACTTGCCTGTTGGTGAGAGATAATTGCATAATGGGATACTTGTAAGGAAGTCCGGCGTGGTGACTTTTGTCTCTGTGGTATTCTGTTTGTCTTTTGAGCTGTACTTGTCAGAGTTCTGTAGCTCAATATATATAGCTTTATCAGGGTATGAGCGAATAAGGTATTTGTAGACCTGGATACGCAACTCCGGGGGGAGATCCAGGAAGCTGATGGGATTATCGATCCCCATTATGAGACCTACTTGACTGTCACGCTGTATAGAAGACAAAAGATACATTGAGGATCGTGATGGATTGTTGTTATAGCATGAGAAGGAAGTTCGTGTGGTAGTAGAATCTCAAGTAAATCCGTATCCATTACGACATCTTACCAGAGATGGCACATGGCCTTAACCGGCGTCGGACATGCGATTCTCGCTTAGTGAGAAGGGTTACCACGGGCAACAATTGATCTTGATCGGACTCTGAAAAAGTGTAATCTCTATTCGCAACGCTAGACGGATTATGGATTACTCAGTAGATCAAAGCGCGCGGCATACAGGATGTTTTCACGTATGCACTGATTCTTGGATGGTCGGATAAGGGGTCTATTCAGAGGGCTCTAGAGATTTAGCAGGAGTGACGGCAGGGAGGGGTAGATAAGGTGCTGGAGCTGAATGCGCAGATTGATAAAGGGAGGATGCCGACGATGTGGGGGAGGAGGCAGAGAATAAGCCGTTTGATTTGGAGCGGTTGTATAAGCCGGATTTTGTGGAAATGGTGGACAGCTCGCTTTCAAGGATGCTAGCTGATAGTAATTATATCGCATAGATAGAGCTAATCATTACAATCCAATTATTTCTCTCGTTAGTTGAATATAGACATGACCACCGAACAGACACTACTCAACAACCTCAAACCTCACAGACCGGTCTACAACAAACGTATCCCTCCAATTATCCCACAACTTCTCCAACGCCTTGATATACTCCCCATGCAACTGATCAATATACTTCTGATCCGGGTCCCATCGCTGCTGCGTAACCGCAATCGGGTTCCCAACAACAACATTCACCGGCCGCCGATGCGGACAGAAGATGTTGAACCGCCCCGTCGAAAACGCAACCTTGTGTCCAACAGCCCATTCCCAGACTCTAGCCACAAGTCCCAGCACAGTTGAGGAGGATACATTCACACAATCAAAGAGCTCATTCTCCCCGAAGGCAATAACAGGAACGAGATCCGCCCCCGTCTCGACCGCCACCCGGACAAACCCCTTACGGATCCGGATGACCACCCCCATCGTCCCCGGCCGGGCAATGTTATACTCGCGACTCCCGCCCACGGTGATGGTAATCGCGCGGCCCATACCCTGCCCATCGTGTCCCCCGCGGGTAAGGTGTCGGATACACGATGAGCGGGAGACGCCGCTAATCCCGCTGGAGAGGAGAAACTCCCTGTACAGCGGTTGGTAGAACGCCTCGTCTTTCATTAGTAGCGTATTTGTGATACCTGGGAAAAGGTCGGAGAATCCGGCGGCATCGGCGGCTAGGGTCCCGACTGCGCCTCGGAGGGCGATGCCATGGGGATGGTAGCCGAATATGTACTTTTTGCGGGGGGAGAGAGGTTCCGAGCGGTAGAGGCGCAGGGGGAAGTAGGAGGTGTAAGTCTTCCAGATCCAGGATGTGCGGAAGCGATTGTTGCGAAGAGATAGTGTGCCGGGTTTGTGTGCTTTGGCGAGGTATTTGATGTAGAGAATGTAAAGGAGGACGAAGAGACGCAGTCGAGGGACGAGGAGAAGAGAGTATCCGAGGAGTGGGAAGAGAAACCAGGCGTTGCATAGTGTAGTCACGACGAGAGTCTCCTTGATATCTCGTAGAATCGGTACTCGGGCTGATTTGCCCTTGGTTTCAGGAGGTTGCGCGGTTTGTAGCACCATCCTGGCTCGGTTCTTGATCTCGTAGAGGGGACCCTTGGTGTCCTCCACCTTCACCTCTGGCATGTGCATGGCCATTCTGTCTGGATTGAGCGCCAGCTCAACAATTTTCTCGGCAGCAGCTACGCGTCCTTCTTTCTTGTGGCAGAGCTTGGCCAACTCGAGCGCCTTGGTTTTGTATGCAGTATTGCCCATGACCTTGAGCAAGGCCTTGCTCAACTCCTTGGCATCAATGTTGGGTGCACGGCTCTTGTTGCCATACACACCAATTCCGAGCCATTCGGCTCGAGCAGCATTCTCGTAACAGTCCTGCCACGCAGGCAGTACTACATGGGGAACACCGTTTCTATACCGTTAGTCTGGCACAACATGACAGAGGAGGACACTTACTGAATTGCTTCGTACCACGAGTTCGCGCCACCATGATGAACAGAGCAGACGATCTGCCCCGTCTGCAGCATAGCCATGGGCTCAACCTCGAACCAGGGTCTGATCCGCGCACTATCCGCCTCGACCTCAGCCTGAAGGGGCTTGATCGACTGAGCATAGACGTTCTCCTCGTCATGTGGATGCTTAGGCAGCTTCCATAGAATTTGAACCTTCTCTCCCTTCCAGGAGGTAAGGAACATTTTCAATCCTCGGGCAATATTCTCTGCTACTTTCGGGTCTGGCGCGTACAGCGTCCCCAGATTGACCAGGACAGTTGGCGCCTTGCGCAGCCAGCTGGCGAGTTCTGGGTCCTGCTTCTCTACCGATGCGGTTGGGAGAAGGATTGGTCCGCACGGGAGGATGTTATCTGGCACATCCATGGGCCAGTCGAGCTCTTTCAGCGCCGGCGACAGGTGGAAGCGGTCCGGTCGCCAGGCATCTGCAAAGGGGAACCGACCATGGATCTTGTGTCGGATGCGCCACTCGCGGATTTCGCGACGGCGACCGCTGCCATGGTACATTTTGGCTGTTTTGAGCACAGCGAGTGTGTTGAGCGGGATGAGGTGCGGTGGAAGCGGGTAGGGGAATCCAGTTCCAGGTCTATTGCAATCAGTCAATGCACAATCTTGATGCTGGAAAGCGACTTACAAAGGGTACTTCCATAAAGCAGCGGAATGCTGTTGCAGGCCCAGGACGATATGAGTGAGAGATGTGGTGTTGATCAAGATGGCCGTGTAGCCAGCGTTGAAAGCGGCATCGCGACCTTGCAGGAAGAAAAAGTCGGCCGCAATTACAGAAGGCTGCACCGACTTGATGATTTCCATGCAGCACTGGTAGATATCGACGTACTCATCCTCTGTCCACCCCCAGATGTCTTCGCATAGGGACTGAAAGCCAAGCACGGCGCCGCTGTATCCAGGAGGATGGAACGCTCCTC